CAACTGCAATTCGCGCTTACTAACACAAAACTTTATAAGCAAATTGTTTCATACAATTTCTTTTGGTATAAAAACAATTTTTTTTGACAAATGTTAAATAATTTTGTGCTTTCCGACCTAGATTTTCGCATAAAAGTTTTTAACATTTAAGTGATAAAAAAACAAATAAAAACGTTTCGGTCGGTACAAACCGACTGAATTATACCCTGCACCTTTCGTTGTTGTATAGCAATTACTCAAACCTGTGAAACCATTCTATAGAAACTTTACGGATATAAGTGATCTATAATTGGACACATAACTGCCAAGTTTCATGAATCTGACTTTATTATTTTTCCAAATATTTAAAATAACCTCTTGAACTTGTATAGGAGTTACTCGAACCTGTCAAGCAATTCCACCAAAACTTCAGAAATATCTCTGATTTATAATAGGACACACGACTGCCAAGTCTCATGAATCTGACTTATTTATTTTTCTAAATATTTAAAATTAGCCTTTGGAGTTGTATGGCAGCCACCCGAACCGGTACCTATATAAACGTTTTCGACTGCATATCCATCAATCTATCATATTTTCAAAAAAATATTAAAACATTTAAAAACATTTGTGTAAAATTTTAGGCAGCAGCTTTAAATTGAATTAAGCGCTTTCAATTTTAACAAAAAAAAAAATGAAATTCTGTTGAAAATGTTCAAAAAAAAAAATAAACAATAATTATTGAGAAAAAAATATCTAAAAAACTTGTTTTGTTTACTTCAATTATTAAAAATAATTTCAATAGAATAAAAGAAATAATTTTATCACATAAATATTTACTCGTTAAACGTAAGTGTTTAATTTATTTATTTTTTTAAGTAAGCAAAATAAGTATACAAAATTTAAGTTTATATTTGAAAAATTAGATTGAATATTTAAAATTTTAGAAAAAATTCCACATAAAGCGACAATAATTCTTTGATAAAGTTAATGTCGAACAGAATCAAACATTAGAAAACTGTTTAATTAAAGCCTTCCTAGAGGACGGCCCAATATTGAGACAAATTAATTTAAATAATTTAAATTGTAATATTTCCGAAAATATCTACTAAAATCTAGCTGCACTGGTTTAGACTTAAATTTTTCATTGTATCACAGCTAATGTCGTTAAGAAATACATTGTGCTAGAAGGGGTTAACTAGCAACAAGGAATTTTTATATACTTATACTCAAGTATAACGCTTTAGTTTATAAACTGTTCGTTGCTCAAAAATTTAGTTGACAATTATATTAAAATTTAGTTATAAATTTATTTTTCAAGGAATTCTTACTGTAAACAATTTAAATACAAATAACCATAAATGTATAACTATAAGCTTTACTGGTAATTATGTAACTTTGAAATTTAATTTTGTACTTAAAAAACAATTATAAATATACTTTGGTCCTGTACCACATTAATTGTCAACAATTTATATAAATCTCAATTTTTAAATCGTAAAAACGATCTTAAGCTTTTCATCATTAAATATTAATTTATTTACAATTTGTTGATCAGAACATGATGACCTAATAGCTAAATATTTAAACATACTACATATTTGATAATATAGAAATTGAGATTTACTAAAGTTTATAAATAAAATCTTACTAAGACTAAAATTAATATTCAAATGCAACTAAGTACATGTGTCGTTTAAAATTATTTAAAATTTATTTAGTTATTTAATATATAAAAATAACTTCACAATAAGCATCATCTTGAACTTAGTAATAATTTTAAATCTATCTGATAATAGTTTTTCATGTGATAAGCTACCATCCCAACAAGTTTTATACAATACAAGCTTGGATATTTTAAGTAAGTATATATACATATAAGTATTAATAATTGTTATGACTTAAAATACTTAAGTTTGTTTAACAAAAAAAAAACTTGATAATAAAAGTGTTATAAAACATTCACTTTGATAAAGCATCAAAGCTATTTAGCTTTATTGTATAAAAGGTTGCCATATTACCCATATTACCCCCCCAATTAGCGTAAACGAAAATTATAAATGTTAATAACTTAAGCGAATTGTCGCTTTCCACTGTATTTTTAAAAATTTTGACGAAATATTCAATTCCATATTGCTTAAAAACTATTTTAAATGCTAAAAGCATTAACTTTCAGAATGCATTGCCATAAGTTGGTAGAGTGTTTGACTTTTCTTGTTATTTTGTGCTTAAATTGTATTGGGGTTAATAAGTTTTAAAATTATGCAATTTTGACAATTTAAATTTTAAATTTGGTCAATAAGGCGGTAGCGACTCCTTTAAATAATAGAGACCAGATACTATTTAAAAGAGTACCTGGTCTCTATTAAGAGTAAAAATTTAAATTTTAAAAAGTATAAATGATATAGATTGAAAAAGAATGAAAAAATTCAATTGAAAACGTGAGTAATTTTATTAGAAAAATGGCATAGATCTAATAAAAAAGAAAAAGGAATTCAAAAGTGATTAAACAAAATGAATGAGAAAGTGTTATACAGAATGAGACTACAACTTAGTTATTCGTTTTGTTATATATATGAACATATTTTAAATTCACTTTCTTTTACTGCTGAAATTCGATTCAACAATGAAATAATCTAAAAATCTGTACTAATAGTCATATAATTAAATAAAACAAATGTACCAATAAACTGTTTGACAGAAATCCTAATTTTGTAAATCAAAGAGAGAATATTGACGTCATTTTGACATGAAAACTCGTTCTTACTGTTTATCTAATACTCAAATACCCATCATATCCTTTATATGTATATAAGTATGTGTGTATAAATAAATCCCAACCAATTCATTATGAATATTAAATAGCATTGGAAAAAGATCTTTTATCACAAAAAATACTTTATAAGAAATCACGTCATACACCAAAATAAAGGTCTTATTTCAATAAGGAATAAATTTTATCTATTAAAAGATATTGTTTAAGCTTTATCCATATTACAAAAAAAAATCTATTAAAACAAGTTTGTGCCCCAATTTGCAATTTCTTAATTATGAGTAGCTAATATTATATACATATGTGTTTATATTAATAATATTAATTTTTGTTCAGAATTTATATTGACTTACATACACATACATATGTTACTTAATGTATATCACACATGAAAATAATCATATGTATATCCCCACAGATTATTGTATGTGCAAATATGTATATATATAGAATAATTCTGTATATAAATAATAAAATATGTGAATGTTAATAATAAAACCAGATAAAACACTTGTAAATTTCTTTACAAATTTTTATAAGCTTTTGATATACATATGTACATATTATAGAATTATAAGCTTGAAAATATTTGATCTTAATTTTAATAAAAAATAATGTACATAATTATGTATGTATATGCATGTATGTACATAGGTACTTCATATATTTATAATTGAAGATGAAATAATTTTTTTCAGAAATTTATTTTTTATAATATGCAAATTAGTTTTTCTCAATAAAGTATAATTGAAATATTTTTGTAGGTACGTCATAACAATTGGAGTCACAATAGAAATTATTATATATATCAGGGGTGGCCAGAATTAGTCATGGTAAGTGCCAAAACTCAAAATCTTGAATTTTTTGCGAGCCGCAATGATATAAATTATAAATTATGTAATATCTGGCTGAAAATTTCTTAGTCCTACAAATAAAAAAGAGTTAGAATTAAAGAAAAAAAAATATGATATTTTTATACTTTACTGGTTGATGCATGTGGCTTGGTTTGTATTGCAAATTTCTGAAAATCTGGCTTATAATTTGTAATATAAAAACGTAGAGTATTCGGAAACTCAGACAACTCAGATTTTGTAAAATTTCACGTTTAAGAATTTACCAATATATACAAATTATTTTTCCATACGTTAAGTAAGAGTTGACAAAATTAAAAAGTGTGGGAAAAGCTATACTCTACTGCGTTTTTACTTTCAGTCAAATTTCTATAAAAATTTTTTTTTGGGAATATTTTTTTTCGACTTGAGCTGCACTAAAAATATTTGTTAATTTTTTCTTCGAGAGCCGCATGAAATTGGTTGAAGAGCCGCAGTTTGGCCATATTTGATATATATATATATATATATATATATATATATATATATACATACATATGTATCTACAACTTATTTACTTCATATAAATATACATATATGAATTACTTATAAATTAAAAGAAATTAAAGATTAAGTTCATATTGGAATTTCAGCATTAGTAATAATAAGTCAGCCAACTACAACAAATTGAATGTCAAATGATTATTTCTTAACTGACAATTGATAATTTCTTTAATGAAAATTGATGACAAATTAAATCATTTCTTACTCATATACTTATTTGAAAATGACGAAAGACTTGCAATACTGATGCATATATACATAAATTAAAGCTATGAAAAGCCATTCCTATATTAATACAAAAAGTCATGTTGTATTGATTACCATATTTGCCTGGGAATAAATGCAATTATACTTCAAAACATCTAATATAATAATGCAACTATGCATCTAATATAATATTTATCATGTATAAAGACTACTGATGAAATAACAGTGCACCGCGACCAGCTTATAAGAATCTATTCTGCCTAATGTACATATATTATGGCTATATATACCAATTATAATTTGAATATTTAAGTAAGCATATTTATTTAAAACTTCAATCCCAATTGTCTGAATATTGGCACCAATTCCAATACAAACTAGTTGTACTAATTTAGTTGTACTAATATGAACATGTTATATTAATTGTAGGCCTTCCCACTAAGTATAATATAAGAATAATTTGGTCATCTGAATTCGATTAAATTTTTAAATTAGTTCAAACGCATACAAGTGCTATTAAATCTTTTGTAATAATAAGTATATGTAGTTTTCTAAAATTAAACGATATATGTATGTATATTTAAGTGAACTAAATCCAATTATAATAATTTTATAAAAACAAATAATTGAGAACAAAAAAAACTCACCTGTAATAGAATAAAATTCCCTTAAATTTTTCTTGATTTTGTTATTCCAAATAAAAATGTTCAGCAAAGAATTTTTCTTCTTTTTCAATTCATATAAATATTTCTTCTCTTTTTAATTTTATATTTTAAAATGAAACTAATTTTCCAAAATCCTATAAATTCATTTTCTTGTGAAATTGTTTCAAATATTTTTCATTCTTCTTCAAGATTTTTTTTAAAATGATTTTGTACTATTTAAAAAAATTGACATTTATATAAAGTAGAGTTGCTTAAATTGAAATTATTTATTTAATAATTTTTTTTTTAAATTATTTATTTCCAATTTTATTAATTACAAGTAAAAATTTTTTATCTGATGTTCGTGTTATTTGTAATATTTTTAAGTTCACATTAGAAATTTTGAAATCCTCTATGATTAAAATATGCAAAACTATTCACAATAGAGGAGCTATTTAGAGCAAAATTCAAAGAAAACAAAAATCTAAAATGAAAAATAAAATAATTTAATTATTAAATTCACTGGAATTCCTTTTTCTTTTTTGCTATGCAAATAAGCAAATTTTTTTTTTTAAAATAATAATCAAAAGTGCATTGAATTTAAAGAAAAAAAAAATGAAAACAAGTTATTTTCCAACAGGTGTTTTTTTGTCCGTTCTTATGGTTTATTACTCTCACTCTTATGGTTTATTACTTATTTTATTTATTTTTAATTCTCTCTTTATTTAAATTGAGAAAATTCAATTTTGCCTTCTTTTATTCAATAGAATTTGCAATTAATTAAAAAAGCACAGAAACAATATTTTTATTTTTTTTTTTACCTATCTCGTGTGATTCAATCACCGCAAGTGTTAAATTCGTTTTTCTTTTGTTTTTTAATTATTTTCTCTTTCCAATATTGTGGGTATATAAAATTTTATACCCATTCAGTTAATATAACAAAAAATTTAATATAAATTTAATTTTATATTTTTTTTTTTATTTTTTTTTTGTTTCTTTCTAATTTCTTTCCTCTTTTTTGTTCCTTAAATAATTAATTTCCGCTTATGTATACCACAATTCACAATATTTAATATAAATTAGTGCAAAAAGCGTGTTCTATGTAAGAAATCCAAAAAAAAGAAAAAAACATTTAATATAAAAATTAAATATGAAGAAACGGTATTTATTTATTATTTCTTTTATTATAAAATTACAAAAAAAAAAAACAAAAATCGCGCCCAAAAAACTTTCTTTTCTCTTTATTAAATTAAAACGACCATACCATCGAACAGACAAACTCGTAATGAATTGTTGAATTTTGTATGAAACACAAACAAGTTATCATAAAAATATTTAACAGTTGTGCTAACATTTTCTCAATATTAAAAAAAAATAATAAAAAAAAAACTTCACTTCAATCCAACTTAACTCGTTTATTATTATTTGCTTTTTTTTCTTGTTTTTATATTATTAAACTTTTATTTTTATTTGATTTTGCTTAAAGGCCTAACTAACTGACTAAAAAGAGCCAGCTGGGTTGGAGTGGAAAAAAAAATTTATTATTAAACTATTTTTTTTTCTGATTATTATTATTATTAAAATATTTATTATGCATGTGTTTGTTAAATTGTACTCGTGTCGTGGAGAGAATTGCGGAGCAGGAGCAATATAATAGCACTAAACATTATATTTATTATTCAATTCACAATTCATTCACATACACATTAATAATATTAATCAAAACAAACAACAAGTGGTAGAATTTAAAAAATTAATATTAAAGAGAGTGTGTGAGAGAGAGAGAAAAGAAAATTATAATATGTAATGTAATATAAAACAAAAGTATAACAAGTAAAAACGTTTCAGTCGGTATAAACCGATTTAATAATACCCTGCACCTTTCGTTATTGTGTAGCAATTACTCGAACACGTGAAGACATTCTATAGAAACTTCACGGATATGTCTGACCTATTATTGGACATCCGACTGTCAAGTTTCATGAATCTGACTTTATAATTTTTCCAAATATTTAAAATTAGCTTTTACAGTTGTATGGCAGGTACCTGAACCTGTCAAGCAATTCCATCAAAACTTCATATATCTGATCTACAATCGGACACACAACTGCCAAGTTTCATGAATCTGGCTTTATTATTTTTTCAAATATTTAAAATTAACTTCTGGAGTTATATGGCAGGTACCCGAACCTGTTAAGCAATTCTTCTAAAAGTTCAGAAATATATTTGGCCTATAATTGGACACATGACTGCCAAGTTTCATGAATCTGACTTTATTATTTTGCCGAATATAAAAAATTTGCTGTTGAAGTTGTATGGCAAGTACCCGAACCTGTTAAGCAATTCCACTAAAACTTCACAAATATATCTGATCTATAATCGGACACACAACTGCCAAGTTTCATGAATCTGACTTTATTATTTTTCCAAATATTAAGAATAAGCTTTTAGACTTGTATGGGAGCTACTCGAACCTGCCAAACAATCCCACCAAAACTTTAGAAATATATCTGACCTATAATTGGACACACGACTGCCAAGTCTCATGAATCTGACTTTATTATTTTTCGAAATATTAAGAATAAGCTTTTGGACTTGTATGGGAGCTACTCGAACCTGCCAAGCAATCTCACCAAAACTTCAGAAATATATCTGACCTATAACTCGACATACAACTGCCAAGTTTCATGAATCTGACTTTATTATTTTTCCAAATATTTAAAATAAGCTTTTAGACTTGCATGGCAAGTACCCGAACCTGTCAAGCAATTCCACTAAAACTTCACAAATATGTCTGATCTACAATCGGACACACAACTGCCAAGTTTCATGAATCTGACTTTATTATTTTTCCAAATATTTAAAATTAGCTTCTGGAGTTGTATGGCAGGTACCCGAACCTGTCAAGCAATTGTTCTAAAACTTCAGAAATATATTTGACCTATAATTGGACACATGACTGCCAAGTTTCATGAATCTGACTTTATTATTTTGCCGAATATAAAAAATTTGCTGTTGAAGTTGTATGGCGGCCACCCGAACCGGTGCAGCTATCCCATTATAATTTTTAGGGCATGTGTAAAATGTAATTAGACACATGTATACAAAATTTTATATTTATAGCTTTATTAGTTTTCGAAATATTTAAAATAAACTCTTTGAGTTGTATGGCAGCTACCCGAACCCGTTGTCCGAATTAGTCCAATAACAATAGGGTTCGTCCTTGGCACAAAAGAAAAAACTTGTGAAAGTTTGGTGTCGATAGCATTATTCGTTTTTGAGTTATCGTGCGATCGGACGGACGGACGGACGGACGGACGGACGGACGGACGGACGGACATGTCTAAATCGACGCAGAATTTTACGCTGAGCAAGAATATATATATATGTCCATACCGCAGATGACTCCTTCAAGTAGTTACAAACTCCATACCAAAGTTAATATACCCTTCACGAAGTGCAGGGTATAAAAAATGCACAATACTGAAATAATACTCGAATATGAATAGTATTTTAAATTGGAATATGGGGAAATGAAAATTATATTATTATTCTCTATTTCCTTCAAATGCAAAACGGTTTTTATGAGGGGGAGTTAATAAAGCATTGAATTGCAGTTCAGGTAAAGTTATGAATATCTTATAAGAGATAAAGAGAGTATTATGCTATTCACTTTATACTTATACTAGTCTAGTCTAGTAAATAAACAAATATATGAGTTAAGTGGAGTGGAATGTACGACAGTCGACAATTTTGTATATTCGTATAGATTGAGTGATATGCAAATTAGATTGTTTTAATTAAAACAAAACATGGAGAAATTCTATTTCGCTTTTTTGTTCTTTTGTACATATGTAAATTTTAGTTTCAGTCTGGTTTCGCATAAGAAACTATAGTATCATATGATTTTATGAGAGTTAGTTTCACCGTCTTCAAATACACTAATTTTTATATGCAATATAAATTTTATTTGAAAACTGTATTAACAGCTAGCGTTTAATATTGAATAACCTTGAAAAATAAGAATTTTTTGTTGAACTCTTCATAATACACTTAATCTAGAATATATTCATGCATAAAACTTAATGCGAAAAATAATTACCAAAATATTCAAATATATGGAGAAAATTTAATTACACAAAAGTTTGATATGAACATAATTGTTTATTTTACTAACATAAACTATAAAAAAATGTAAAAAATTTTCTTTTGCAAAGTTTTTTTTTAAAGCTATCTCAGTGTGATAAAAACAAAAACCACTTGCTGCATTGTGATTTATACGTACCTACTTAGAATAAATAATTTATTTACGAATCTTTATTTATAAAAAAAATAAGGAATAAACAAAATAATTTAGAATTCCTGCAAAAGTAAATCAAAATAAAAAATTCTATTAGGAATGTATGTATGTATTTTATAAAAGAAATGTTCAATTAATTTAAAACAAAACAACCATTCAATTGCCGTTTTCCATATGAATTTTTCACAATAGAGCATTTTAATCACCCCTGATTTCATACTTCAAAAATTTTTTCAGTATCTTCAGTATATATTCAGTAGATCGTGTGCCAATTTATTATTAAGAATATTTTTCAACAAATTCCGAACACTTTTGAGCATTTCTCTGGCTTTTTTGCACGCCCTCTATGAATATTGATTTCAATTTTCCAAAATCCGAGATTATTTTATCAAAAATTTAAACTTCACCAAATTTTCATAAAAACAATATAACGGTAAATATAAAACTTATTCTTATATATAGAAACAGCAACTGTCTTCTTATAAATCTGTCATTATATTTATTGTACTCTATTTTTCATTTTTTAATCGGCCCCTAATTTTATGCAATTAACCAACATTATTAGATTTGATTAGAGAATTAATTTATTAACTAAATATTTTTTAAATGAACTTGTGCTATTTTACAAACTGTTATAATTTTATCTTAATTTATTTATATTTGAATGAAAAAGTAAAGAATATTTGCAAAAAAAAATTTCTTGAATTTTTCCATATCTTTTAAATTTTAAATTTATATAATAAAACTGAAATATGAACTCCGTACATTTTTGTGTATTCAATTCAAACTGAGTTTTCTATTTGTTTGTTGTCTTTGTCTATCTAAGCTTTATTATATGCATTTTATGATTTTTTTTTTATTATTTGTTTAACTGTATACAAAACTTGTTTTCATTAATAAAATATTTTTCTATTTAAAATTTATAACATAATATTTTTTTTTTGTTTTGAGATCTCAGTTTGTGTGGAACATTTTTGTGGAATGGAAAATCATTTAATATTCTCTTGCTAGTTGCTTTTACTCTCTTTCTCCTTCACTTTATACTCAGTAAAAAGAAAAAGTATTTTAATAATATTGTGAATTGTATTGTGATTGTCACTTGTTTTGTCACTGCACATTGTGTTTGCGGTGCATTAAAAAAACACATACAAGTAAAACATTAAAAACGAAATTTTTTTTTTTAGTTCTTCAAACTTAAAACACAAAAAAAAAATTTTTTTTTTCATAATTTTTTCAATTTTATTATAAAATATGTATGTTAATTGTATTTACATTAAGTATGTAAATATTTTTAAATAATTTCAATTGACGTTTTGTTTTTATTACACTTCAAATTCAATTTTTACTGTTAAACATTTGATATTCATAGGTAATGCTTGTATAAAATAACAGATGGATGAACTTTTCGATCATCAACAATAGGTAATCTAGTACATATGAACGTAAATTTTATATTCTTAACATTTTTGATAAGAGAGTTACCAAAAATATGGAGCAAAAGCAATATGTCTGCTATTTGCAAATTTGAATAAATTTGTTAATTATACAAAACAATTGCTGGAGAACAGGTTCATAATGATTAAAATTTAATTAATAATTGTTATAATTTTTATTGATTTTATAGTTTACTTCTATTTATATGTATTTGTTAATATAAATTTGTGAATTTATTAATTTTAGTTTATTTAAGAATACCTTTAACATCTATGTGTACACAATACAGTATGTATAAATGTAAATATGTGTGTATGTAACATTTTTACACATTAATATCATAATGTTTCTATAATTGTATATATATATATATAAAAATATGTAAAAATGTAGAAAAAGTAGAAAAAGAGGAAAATGAACTAAATCACGAAATTAATTTGAATTGAGGCTTCATTGTGAATTTTTTGATGTGAAAGTTTAATTTTTCTTTTCATTTCATTTTTTGTTTGTTTGTGTTTTTTTTTTTTTGCATTTTCTTATTATTTCATTTAAAATA